TGTCCTCATCTGAAACCAGTCTGTTTTCATCTAAAACCAGTCTGTCCTCATCTGAAACCAGTCTGTCCTCATCTAAAACCAGTCTGTCCTCATCTAAAACCAGTGTGTTTTTATCTGAGGCCAGTCTGACTTTATATAAAACCAGTCGATCCTTTTGTAAACCAGGCTGTCCTTATATAAACCAGTCTGTCCTCATGTAAACCCCTGTCCTCATATGAAACCGTGTCTTCCTGTGAACTCAGTCCTCACCTGAATGAAAAAGAAACATCTTTTTATTCTCTGTCAGCAAATTAATGTAAATAAACCAAAGTTTTTCATATGAAAACAGCTGTATTTCCTAACATTCCTTTACCAAAATAAAAGCATGAATAACTTCAGGTCACCAGGTCCAAATCTGACACATATTCCCAACACAGCTTCCACATCAGGCTGCAGGTTGTTTTGCTTGTTATTCATTTTGATGAATTATAAAGTCACTCGTAACTTATAACAAGCAGGACAAAGCCCTGCCTCAGTATCAGCTGTCAGTGAGTTTGTTTTTACACTGGTTCTTTGTTTTGGTGTTTTTTCTCTTCTGAATCAAAGTGCCTGGGTGTTATTTACTGAATTCATTTTATAAATGATTTAGCTCCACCAGAGGGCGATGATAGGCTCAGCGCTCCCTCCAGTAAATGTGGATGAGTAATCCTGCTGTGTCTCAGCCTCCAGTCCGATGATGACCGTTGGGACAGTCACTACTTACTGTAGACAAACTGATGTGGGACCTGATTTTACAGGAACAACTCTCATTAAGGGTCAGTCTTATTTACATACATGGAGCTGACTCTTATTGTATCATTTAACAGGAAATGTACAGAATATTGTTTTCTTCAGTATAGGAAGATTTAGAAATATTTACTGACGTGTGGCCACGGCAGACAAAGAAATGTGTGTGTGAGGAAAAACCTTTTTTCTGATCTCTTCACATAAAAGCGGAGAGCCTGATCAATGATTTTCCACTTAGACTAACACCAAGGGATGGAGTTTGTGTGTGTGTGTGTGTGTGTATGTGTGTGTATGTGTGTGTGTGTGTGTGTGTGTGTGTGTGTGTGTGTGTGTGTGTGAATGCAACAACAATTAGCCCATTGCTGAGATTTCAATTTGCACCCCCTCAACATACACATGCACACACACAGGAGGTTTGTCCCTTATCCCTTTTACCTCCGCCAAGGATGTTTATGTTTTCGACTGCATGTTGTGCATACATAGAAGGATTATACAAAAACTACAGGACACAAAACTTGGTGGAGCGATGCAGTATGAGTCAGAGAAGAACCTAACAAATGTCGGAAACAATCCGGATCAGGGGCCGGATTCAGAATTTGTTTTGTTCACTTTCTCTTACATTTTCGTTGATTTCTCAAAAAATAATTCATGGATCAGGCATTTTTAGGGAACTGATATTTAATGAGTTGCACAATTTGGTGCAGATCCAAATAAAAATCCACTTATAGTGAATTTAAATGTGGTTTCATCAGGGGACCATTCAGCCCTCGACTGAGTGCCATTCTAGTAAAGACCTCACATTAGCCATGGCCAATTTATGCCTAACCCCAACCTTAACCTTACCACACTTCTCATCTTACCCCTGTTCTCAACCAGGACTTTAAGAAATGATGTTTAGCCTCATTAAGGACCCGGCTGTGGTCCCCATGACGTCTATTGGTCCTGACAAGGTCATTATTTATGCTGAAAAAGGTCTTAAACAGGCAACTCAAACAAGTGTACAAACACAAAGACACCTCATCAACCCTTCTGAAGAACGCTCACTGATTATTATTGAATCGTGTCATTTCCTGAATGTTAGGTTTAAGGGGTTTGTGTTTCCTGTGTTTATGGGAGTTTATGGGAAGATTTAAGTGTTTGTTTCTTGTTAAAATTCAGGAGACAGTTTTATTTATTGCCACTTCATTTATTTTATAGTTATTTCACTTAAAATGCAGAATCAATTAATCTCCTGGAACAAAACCCTTACCATTAACTACATCGTATTTGACAACACAGCTGAAACAGAAGCAGTGACACAGAAGACGTGTCCCTGTGTCTTTGTCCTCTGGACTGAATTCACTTCACTGTTTCTGTGATTAATGTGTGAAAGTTTCTCTTCCTCTCTTTGTTCTCATGTTCATTTAGAAGTTTGTTGGCCGCTGAAATCATTTTCTCATCCTGGCTTCCTTTCTCGTTTTCCAGTTCCCGCTTCCTCTCCTCCTCCTCTTAAAGATTTCCTCTCTCACTCTATAATCCTGAATAGCCTTTCTGAAGGGTTCTGGCCCTTTCCAACTGGTCCTCCCACCAGTGCAGTTTTTTTTGCCAGGATCGTCAAAGCTTCCCTTTCCAAACATGACTGTCTCATAAGTGCTGCATCTGCTCCCAGTCAGACCTCCTGGACCTCTTGGCAGCATGAATCCAAAGCCTCCCATCCATCTGCCTTTTTTTCTCTGAGTAATAAAGAAAAGATTAGATATTTGTATTATTTAAAGCTAGTATGTTTATTTTGGAAGATTTGCTCGGGATTTTCCTTCACTTCTCAGGGAGTAAAACTCCATGTCATAGTATGTATAACTGCTAATACTCCTGAGGTTGGATGGGGTCATCAAATTCATGTTCTCGGTCCAGATGAAGCTCCAGGGTCGGGTTGGAAGCACAGCGAGAAGCCGCCCTCTCAGATTGATTATAGGTCTCAGATTGATGTGTTATCCTGTGACCTGCCACAGTCGACTAAAAGGAAAATCCACTCTGCTCCAACCCTTTTTCACAGTTGGACCACTTTACTTGTGTTTTTCACTCTGACATCGTTCTTTTCTTTCAAATGGAAATTCTTCCAAACCTTGAACTGTTTGCTGATGTTAGCAATTACTTTTTGATTATTTCATGCAGGCTCGGTGTTCGTTTTGCATCTTAGAACATTGTGCATAAAGATATTTTCACTTAAAAAGTTTCTCGAGCCGCGCTTTGACAGCAGGAACTTTTCTGCGAAACTAGCAACCATTGCAGGAATTCCTTCCATTTCCACTGCAGGAACTAGTGTCTTAATAAAGTTCTGGGTGAATCTATTTGCCTGTGTACACGTGTTCTACAATCTCAAGCAAGCTGAGCGAGCTGAACATCCACCACACCGGGAAACAGTGCCTGGAACAACTAAAGAAAAATTACCCCAAACTGCAAAAAAATAAAAGACCACAACAACAAAAGTGGTTGTGCCCGACAGACCAGCAAGTTCGGCTAGATGGCTGACTTTTCATTTTTTGGGGATTTATGAAGTCTGTATTTCAAGTTCGCCAGTGGACATTTATTCATTCAGTTCAATAAAACATGAAAAGTGTTGGCCCAATGTCTCTCAGCTTGTATTATATCCTTTCTTGCTGCCAGTCGTTGCAGAAAGTTCCCACATGTGAAGTCATTTCACCAAACAGAGCATGGCACTGCATGTGCGCTGAGGTAAAACCCTTTCATTTTGCCATTTTGAGTCATGACTTGGCTCGGCTCTCTCTCGGAAATAAGTGATGCAGGAAACCAGCACATTTGGGTCTATGGCTCCGTCAGTCATGTGACTACACCTCATTCTAAGTTTTAACCTGAAGCAGAAAGCTGATCTCGAGCAACCCCAGCCACGATGTCAGAGTCGGGCACGTTTGAGATCTGCATCCAGAAAAACAACAGAAATGGGTCTGTATACATATCTATATAAAAAATAAGCCATTACAGCCGACACTCTGCTGCGAACAAACCAGATATTTACATAATAAGCTTAGTAGTGGAGGAATTAACAACAAGCCAATTCAGTGGTCTGTTCTTATTAGGCTAAGTCAATATATATATATATACAACTTGAGTTCTTGGTCTGAGATGGGACAGAAATTGAATGTTGCCGTATAAACCCTTGCACACACAGCCTCCTGTCTTCTGCGTCGGTGTTGCCACTGGATGTAAATTTGAAAATAGTCCAATATGTAGAGAATTCTTGTTGTGAATGCTCCTGAGAGCAGAACATCCTGCTCCATTCTTCATATGTGAAAGCCAAACTCCAGACAAAGAATGAACCCC